ACCCCACTCCTCAAAACCGACCCATCCCCCCCCCCTACCCCCACTACCCAATAATCAGCAATGTAATGAGCTGTGTCTTTTGTTGATAGTTGAATGGAGTTGCTTTGAAGACTTCATGCCGCTGGCGGGGGATCAGATCGTCGAGGACATGCGCCACCTAGAGTACGAGGTACCCAGTCTGGTGAAGGGAAACAAGTACTACATAAGGGTGTCCGCCTGGAACATGAAGGGTTACAGCCCCTTCACTCCCACCAAACCTACGTATGCCGTGCCATCATGTACGTATGATGTAGATACCTAGTGAAACGGGTATTGATCTAGTGCTTTCGACGCCAAATTGATTGTTCAGAATAAAGTGTCAAGTCATAATACTTAATAATAATAAAAGAAAAAAATTTGTAAGATTGGTCAATATCAGGTATTCCCAAAACTGGCTTTTCACACGTGATATTACAGTATACAAAATATATATACGAATCCACAACAACAAAAATTGAGGTTTGATTTGTCGGAACATAATTTTGTCTTCCTTCTCAATTTGGAGAGATGTAAAGTGTGTTTATTGTTTACATTTGCCTTCCTTTGTTGCTAATTTTTGTCTTCCTCCACATCCAGGAGAAATATCTAATGTTTATTGTTTACTTTTCTCTTCCTCCTCACCTTAGAGAGATATTAAGAGTTTATTGTTTACTTTTCTCTTCCTTCTCACCTTGGAGAAATAATGAATTTTTATTGTTAACTTTTTCCTTCTTTCACAGCTTGGAGAGATGTTGAGGGATCAATGGCGTCAAGAACTGACGGAAAATTAGAACACTTGGCAGGAATCTTTTCGAATGTCAAACAACACCGACCTGCAGATGCTTCAGAATTAAAAGGTTTGAAATTGATCTTTACATCTTTACAGTGTATGACCAAATGTCTAGTACATCAGAGTCATGGGGATATGAATTTTGTTTTTACTTTAAACCAAGGTGTTGGCGAAATGTTGGTCAGAAATCGTATTTCATAGTGAAGAAGATCATGTGGCTAAGTGGGTAAAGCTTCTGACATTCTGCTACCACTAGCCCTCCACCACTGGGATGTAGGTTCGAGACCTACATGTACCTTAAGGGCAGTTGTCAGGTACTGGCCCTAGCTGTAATAATAGGATGTAAAGCACAAACAAACTAAACTGTTTCAACAAGATTCAGAATACTTTTATCAAGCACATTAAATAAATATATTTTAATCTCTATTTTGCAGAAAGTTCTGGTGGCGATTCTCCTCAACAGCGCAAGAGGAAGAGTATAAAAAACCTGTTTACTTCCGCACCAAAATTTCAAAAGGCATTAAAAAGGTTTGTTCTTTTTCACCTTTAACCCTTTTTTTAAAGTTGATAAATTTTGATGATTCTTTATCGAGAAGAAATATGTGTTCTTTAAACTAAGCCACAAAATTATATACTATAATGTTTTATATTGTACAGGACATAAAAGTTCTAAGATAATTTATAACAAATGAAAACTGCTTGACTACCCTAATGTAAGGGAAGTAATTCAATTGTATCATTTTGCTTGAGCAAGAAGCTTTTTTCAGTACATATTCTAGTACACCCAGCTGTATAAATAGACAAAAGTCAGGCTGGGAAGTTAAATTACATGATGAAATCAGGAAAATTTTGTATTCTTTCACCTTATGGCATATGTACCAAAATCTCTCTAATGAGATGATTCCTTTTGATTTTGATTGGTGCAATTTTTCTATATTTGTAAAATTTTGTGTCCACAGAGGGGTGTATATGGCTTGTCTACTGTATAGTGGGGACAAGGTTTTTGTAACATCTGACGACCAGCTACCAGTCATGGAGGTTGACGAGAACTTTGCTGGACCTGCTGTCTATAACGACCTCCATTGGTTAATGAAGGTAAGCTGATGTATGTTAACACTGACACTTCTGTGTAAATAAAGGGTCGTGAGAACGAGAGAGAAAACAGTCTAATATAGTCCTTCCTATCTTTGTCTAAGTGTGAAGCACCTTATTAAAAGGCAGTTAAAAGTCAACAGGTACATAGGATAAATTCAATTTTTTTTTTCAAAACATTAATAATTAGAGAAATTGAATCTATGAATTTATTTCACATTTTCCTATGAAAAGCGTGTATCTAATGAAACTTTTTTTATATCTAAAGATTTTTTGTAAAGGAATTCACACAAAATCAAATTATTAATGAAAATTGTTATATTGGTATTTTTAGGACTTCTTTGCTTGTTTCAATGGACTGAAATATTCTGATAAAATTGGGTTTTATTTCGACAGATTTCCTGTAATTGGGATGATGTGAAATCCTTTCGTCAAGACATGGATAAGAACACGAGTGCAGGCACCATGCATTTTCGTAACAAACTCTTACAGGCTATATCAGTGTTACAGGTAAACCTTTTTTTACTTTCATATAAAATAAGTTAAGCTTATAGTGAATGAAGTCAATTTAAGTGAACTCCCTTCATTGGCTGATATCTGGTAAAAGAAGAAATTCATATTTTTCATTATAAGAGAATTTTTGGCGTTAAAAAGAGGTTTCCCTTTATAACGCCAAAATTTCTCTTGACAGATGGTGGCAGTATAATGAGGTTTTGCTGTATATTTGATATCATTTTGTATTGTAGAGTGCTCTTGGTGTAAACGACCTTGGTCAGTTTCACCACAAACCCCTGAAGGACATCAACGGTAGCATAATACTGACCACTGTCAGCGACGTCAAGGAAATGAAGTCTGTCTGTCTCAGTTCCGGAAAGTGGGTCAACTCCGCAAAGTTGTTAAGGCGTACTTCCACGCCCAACTCTGGAGGGTCAAGTACTGATTCCACAGACTCTATGGATATTCTAGTCAACTCCTTGTCTGTAAGTATGAGTCGTTATACAGGGTGTTCACCTGTCTAAACTGGTCCCTGTGTAATCTGGAACCCTGTATAGACCAGAGCATCATCCAATCTGTCTTTATGAAGAAGAAGCATTAATAGACTCAGGAATTCAGTTAAAGACATGTTTGTGTTTAAAAATGAAATGTTTATAATTTTTCATCTGTTTAAGTGAATTGTAATGTACTGTTTACTTGACCGTCAGATGTAAATTGATTCTGTTGTTCTCCATATTGTCTTTCTAGATTGAGAACTTTTAAGTGCCTTTTAATTTTCACGATATAAAGTAAAGCTCTTAAAAAATTAGTGCATTTTAATTGAATAGAAGTGAAATTCTCAAAACTTTAGTGTCCTTCCTCTAAGAAACGTGACGTAAATATTTGCAGGGCTTGTCCTGATTTACAGATCTGTCCTTGCATTTTTACAGGAGATGGTGGTGTACCACCAGACCAGTACCGTACCACTGGCGAAGGGTCTGTACCTTGGTTACCTCAAAGTTCAGGTGTCAGTGGAACTTATCCAGCTTCTCGTACCAAGCAAGGCCCCCAATAATCTTCCAAACGTCAAGCTTCGCAACTGTCCCAACATATCCAAGTAAGTGTGGTGGAAAGTCATTCTATATTGCCTGTAGCATCCTTATTTGGGAGTTAAGGGTGTATGCTACCTTAACTTTAGACATGCATCTTCATACCAAAAGAGCTCCACAATAGTTAAAACTTTATGTTCTATGAATGGTAATTGGATTTGATGTCTCAAGTATTCAGTTTTTTAGATAAAAGCTGTTTAAGACAAAATAGGAATGTGAAAGCTCTAAAATAAACAACAGGTATGATGAGTAAGGGAGCTAACTTTATACAAATCACTAGTGTACTATAAAAGGGAGAAAACTCAGACACAAAAAATCAGTATAATGTGCAAAGTAGTATACACACCAACAAAGTAAATGAAAACACACTCTTATTACTTCCTTCACTGAGGTTCGTAACTTCATTTTATTTTAAAACTGTGTTTGATACTTTATCTTGTAATCCCCACAGATTAGCCTTAAAATGTGCTTGTTTGGCTACTATTTAACTCATTCACCCCTGAAATGTCATAATGAACTATCCCAACCTTTGAATTGGAAAAGGTCAAATGTGTCTTCAGGGGTGAATGAGTTAAAGTAAATAATATGTGAGAATATTATGTTGAGATATTATTAAAATGCAACTTTATATTGATTTGGGTGTCAGACTTGAAATGGCAGAGAAAAAGGAACAATCTGTCTCTATTTTAGGATTAATACTTACCCTTCATTGCTTGCTTTAAAATCCTTATAAAAAGGATCAGAAATTCTGACTCAGGCAAATAGATGTTATATTCTACAATTGCTGGAAATTTATTGCTTGGAATTGAAAATAAATTTAAATGTCCACCATTTTGTATTACAGAGAAGAATGGGAATGGTTACAGGATGTTAGTTCTGGGAGGCAGACCACAGCAAAACCTCATTTTCAGAAAGAGCTGATGAACGGTTCAGAAAGGCTCTTTGACATGTTAGGTAAGTTAAGATTTAGTGTCTCATTTTTTTCTCGCTGCCACGAAGTAGCGGTAGCGAGACTTAGGTGTGGCTTTTCCGGCGACGGCGGCGTCAACATTAAGTTTTTGCGTTTAAGTTAGTTTCACTGAAAGTATAAGTGCTAGACCAACCGAACTTGGACCATAGATGCATCTTATGTAGTACATCTCAACCCATGCATCAAATGCTGGATGCGGCCTACCTTTCATGGTCGGCCTACCTTTCATGGTCTATTGACTTTGTCAGCATCTCCATCAACATTAAGTTTTTGCGTTTAAGTGCTCTGAAACTGTAAGAGCTAGACCACCCGCAAAACGTGACATGTACGTGCATTGATGTACAAAGCGGGGCACAGGCATGACATAGTAATCTAAATGGCTTGTTTATACAATTAAACCTTTATGAAGAGATCACCTTTGGTAAGTCTAAAAAAAGGGTCTTTTAAGGAGGTGGGCTCAATTCACAATGAAATCACCAAATTATGGAACATTAAAATTGGTTTCTTAACACAGGTGGTCGCTTAACGGAGGTAGTTCCATGAGCAGGTTTACCTGTATACTAATAATCATATTTTCTCTCATTTCAGATATTCCGGAAAACCTTGCGAAAATGCATCGTATTTACGATCTGGAGGTCGTGGAGGTGAGCAGTGACGTTACGTTTCTATTGCTGCTGCCCCCTATAGAGAATGTGTGCATTGTACCGGGACAGGCAGACGACCTCGCCTTAAAGAGAGACTTTATGCTTCTGCCTGTCAAAGTGTTTGAAACAAGTAAGGCATTTACCTGTAATTCATTACATTTTACTTATATAAAGAAAAACTTAACTCTAAAATATTCTTTCTTTTTATCCATATACATTTACATTTTTTAAGTAAGGGAGGATATTGGATTAGTGTTAGAGTGACTGAAAATCTCTGTAGTTTGTATCAAGATTTATCTCCCTTTATTTTTACGGAATCAATTTGATTGGTTGATTACCACATAGTTTAATGTCACATATCGTACATCTTTCTGTTTAATTTCACCTGATTTTTAATGACGAAATTTTCAAAATTACCTAAAGTGGACCGTATATGAACAGATTTCTACCTTTTTGATTGAGAGAAAACTTATAAAGAATAATTGTTATTCTGATTCCCAGTTATCTAAATAGATCAAAATTCAAAAATTTGAAGTGGCATTTGATTTATGTCAAAGCTTCTATGTAAGTTATGTTGCAAAGTGTTTTAAAATTTCAAATTTTGCATCATTCAGTAGATCATCGTTTATGGTATTGTTTTTTAGTCCACCTGAACACGTACCAGACTCGACTCCTGAGTAAATACTCACGACTCTCTTCCCTACTCGAGATGGACCTCGCCCTGGCACAGCAAGCCCAAAGAGAGGTGAGTAAACTGTCGTAGCTTTTGAGGTCACTTAGCTTATGTAATTCATCCAACATATTAAAGTGGCGTAGGTGTTTAAAAAATGAGGAAGAGAGCTCCAGTTGATGTATACAATCCTGCAAGTGCGTTGAAGCAGACATAATGCTTCAAGTCTCCATGTCACAGTAAGGTAGCATACATCCTTAAGTCTCCATGTCACAGTTAGGTATAGCATATATCCTTAAGTCTCCATGTCACAGTAAGGTAGCATACTTCCTTAAGTCTCCATGTCACAGTTAGGTAGCATACACCCTTAGTCCCAGTGTCACAGTAAGATAGCATACACCCTTAAGTCTCCATGTCACAGTAAGGTATAGCATATGTCCTTAAGTCTACATGTCACAGTAAGGTATAGCATATATCCATAAGTCTACATGTCACAGTAAGTTAGCATACACACTTAAGTGTCCATGTCACAGTAAGGTAGCATACACCCTTAGTTCCAGTGTCACAGTAAGATAGCATACACCCTTAAGTCTCCATGTCACAGTAAGGTAGCAAACTTCCTTAAGTCTCCATGTCATAGTAAGGAAACATACATCCTTAAGGTTTCCATGTCACAGTAAAGTAGTATACATCCTTAAGTCTCAATATCAGAGTGAGGTAGCATACTTCCTTAAGTCTCCATGTCACAGTTAGGTAGCATATACCTTTATGTGTCCATGTTACAGTAAGGTAGCATATACCCTTAAGTCATATATCCAGGGTGCTGCTAATAAGATTGACAAGTACTAATGACTTAAGTTGTTGGGACCAATCGAAATATCCAGGACAAATAATGAGTTTGATCATACAGCTAAAAAAATCCCAAGGACTGAAAACTTTCTTTGTAATCAGCAAGATGTAGGAAATGTCTTAAATGAACTGCAAAATTACAATTGGTCTTTTGTTATTTCAGGCCTTTTCTTCCGGGGAGCTGAGTTCTGCAAAGTCACGAGTAGATAAACTTAACACACTACAGCAGCATTTAGACTCTGCCTGGAAAAGTACACGATGGGTGATGGACATTATTACGTACGCTCGCGACAAATCTGTGCACGGCGGAACACCCGTTAGTCTGATTATGTCCACTGACAAGGAAACAGACACGCCAAACTTCCACGGAAAATCAAATAGAAAAATTCTGGATAATAACAATTCCCAGCCAAGCTGTGGGTCAACAGCGTGTGATTCGAATGAAATAAGTGTCGGAAAAGACAATCGAAAGATTGCAAAGTTTTACGATCCAACTGAGGAGGTTCAACGAACAAATGGACACATACAAAAGGGGAGAGAAAGTACGCCAACGGAGAGTAAATCTCCAGTGTCAAACCCGCCGGATTCATCGACAAATAGTTCAGGAATACTTGAAGTGTATGCCGCCTACGAGACAGGACTCTCAAAGGGCACAAGAGTGCGGTTACATGTCACTTCGAGAACGACAGCAAGAGAGGTCGTCCATCTTGTCGTGAAACATCTCAACAAGGCCCTGGTGATGAAGGGCAAGTCGGGGCCTACCTACTCCGAAGACAAAATAGTAGACTTCTGTCTTGTGGCTGTGATTGGTGCAAGGGAGAGAATTCTCCGCGATGACTATCAGCCACTCCGGCTACAAAATCCATGGACTAAGGGCAGATTATTTGTGCGGTCGAAAAATAATCTTTTAGCAGCAATTCAGCAAGGTCATGCTACAGAAGTGTGATTGTAGAAGAGCTGTAGATAGGGGCTTGCATTAAACACAATTCTTACAGCGACAGCCAATCTTACTGTTACTTACCACTGCCTTCTATTCCCCCAATTTCTTGATTTCTAGAAAAGCTAAACTTTAATTACTACGGTCTATTAAGTTTTTACCCCTGGATATTTCAACTCAATTTTACGTAGAATTAAATGTATCCTTCTGAATGTCTAACACGAAAACTTTTTACATTCAATTTTATATTTCTTAGTTAAGGGTGTATGCTGTATCTAACAATGACATGCATCTCTTTTAAAAGAATTCCACATAAAACAGAATTAACAGAATTAACTGTATTTTAATAATGATATTTTTTATTATTTCTTTGACATCAAACTCAGAAATAACTTAATCATGAAATATTGTTAATCAATTATTCCAAGGGAGACAACACTCATAAAATATTTATAACTGTAATGTATTGTGTTTGAAGGAAATTTGAATATCTCTTCAAGGACTTTTGATAATAGATTATTCATTTAATTCTACATGATTTCGGTAAGCCAGGGATATTCTTTTTTCATAGTTAGAAAATAAATCAATGATAAAGACTGTGTTGTTTATTAAGTGCTTGAAGGCAGTGGTGTTTCAACAATTTGGATTACGATGTTGCTACAATTTCCAATTCTTGTATCATGGTAGGACACAGAAAGCATATTGTGATATTAATTCAACGTCAGTCACGCCATCGCATTAATATAGTGTTAACATAATCGGTGACAAGTAATTTATTAAGGTTGATTTTTATTTATTAATTGCTTTCATCATTCCATTAATTGTGTATTATTATTAACAAGCATAACCAGGTCGTAGGACAAAATCTAGTCTCAGTTTAATATTTTTTTACACAAACAATCCTTCCATTTTAATTACCGTATTCAATATAATAAGTGCCCCCATTATAAACCCACTCTTATAATCCTTTTGTACTGGTTCATGAGTTCTATCTCTTTGTCAAATTTTACCAATTTACATAAAAGTTATCTGCTAACTTTTTTGAGAAATTTGGATGATTCTAAAATCGTTCTAATTCTTCAAAATTAGTTAATACACAGGAGCATTTATTAGCTCAAATACGGTCGATTTGATTTCTAAAGGAATAGACTCATATGCCTTGAGCTGTTTTTCACCCTTACACCCTTAAATTATCTGAAATAAAAAAAAAAAACTCAAAATTACATTTAACATTAGATACGAACTAAAAATACATTACTGAGTTACAAAAATTATCTAAACTTTATTTTTGACAATTTAAAAACTTTTCATAATTCCAACAAATTTGGAAAATTTACGAACATTTTTGAGGCTGAAATCTGCTGTTATTGAGTCTACTCCTTTACGTTAACCGGTAATTGATGCATATTTGTAATACATATTATTGATAAGTACTAAATATATCATTCCTGTTTCATCAGTTTAATATACGGTATTAAGGTATAAGAAGCTAGTCAGTCATACAACAAAACGTCCATTTCTCACGATCTTTATGAAACTGTTGTACCATTTAAATGTTTCCGCTAAGTACTCATATTTACTGGTTATTAATGATTTTTTACCATTTTGAACAAAGAAAAATCTAGTCCGATTTTGCATATATTTTAGGCATTTAATCATATGAATATTATTAAAAAATTGAATTATCATTTACATCATTGTATTTTTTGGAGGAATTATGTGGAATAATTCATAAAATACATGATATTAGCATTTCAGCCATGTTAAGGTGGCTCGTCACATGTACCAGAATCAAGATAATGTTACAGATATTCACGGAACTATTCTCGTGCTCAAAGTCAGATTCTGTGCTCAAGCCCAATTTCCTGTTTTATTGATCAATTGTTAAAAATTCACATTCTTTCAATGCTTGAGTTTAACTTTTTGACCAAGTCACATGATCGAAGCGAATTACAAGAAAGATGGTTTGAGCACATGAGAGTCCATGCTTGGGCATATGAGAATGGTTTCATGAATACCAACCTTGCAGGTGTATTTTCTATATAAGAAATCGTCACTAAGTATTATCAAGTTTAGGTTCTGATTTAATTTTATAATTGCGACATATAATGGAGTGTATGAAAACTACTTGGGTCAAATTTTATATTTTTGACCTTTGATAATAAATTCTATCTTATTTTGAGATTTGAAAAATGAAATGTTTATAATTAAGAAAGCACAGAAATTAAGAACAAAAAATCCTGAAAACAGTATTTTACAGTGTCGAATACCCTTAACTGCATGCATTTTCTGTACACTATAGGCATGAAGTTATACTTATCATTGAAACAAAATACAGATTTCATACTTATTTCTATCAAAACTCAAATCATTCACAAAACCCTGAAAGTGTTACATTGCATAGTTTAAATTCATATCATCCCGTTTCAATTTGTATCACAATTTAACCCTTCCACCCCTAGGTAACTTTAGTAGACTCTACCATACATTTATCTGGATGAGTCCATTATGGTATACAGTGGTGAAAGGGTTAGTGAGAGCAGTAAGAATCACCTAATCTTTAGCAGTTAAACTTTCCTAATTCATTAAAGCAAGCCCATCATTTATGTTATTGCCATATATAGACTGTCCAACATTTGTTGATCAAACGTGAAATAAAAGTGCAATGGGTTTTTTTTCCTAATAGGGACTGTTTATACCTGTGTTTAACTGAAATTTAACATGTCATCTTTTTGTGAATAATATTTTTTATAGATTTGCCATGCAACAAAACTAAAACCATTTTTCTGTGTCTGTCTGACCGTCCGTATATCACTCAAATATCTGTCTGTTTGACATGAAATTGTCTGTCTGTTGGACACTGTTTGTCCATCTGTCTGTCTGTCTTAGACTCGACTCAAATACTTGTCTACCTTTTGCTCTGACGGTCTGTGTATCTGATTAATATCTGTCTGTCTATTTGTCCTTTTTCTTTTCTTTAAATCGGCTCACAGTACAATTATTATCAGCAATAGAATCTTTCACTCCTGTGTGTTGAAGGAATGGAAATCTCAATCCAAGAGAAAGATACTTTTCTAAAGTTTAGCATGAGACTTTGATAACTGCTAAACTACAAAAAATCTTATCTACCATTGAAATATCCCTGTTTGCAATAACACAAGAGTGATTGATTATTTTTCTCTGGATCTTCCTCACCATAAAAATAGCTTGTTCTGGTGAACTCATTGTACTTAACTGTTGATATGTGTGATGAAATTGAGGATGGGATTCTGGCTAAATAGCTTGTGTGAGTTGTTTTTCTCTACACAGAGAAAGACTTTTTTTTTTAATTTTCTAAGCTGATGCTTGATAAATAAGCCTGCCATTCAGTTTAACCAGTAAAATTTCATATAATTATAGCCAACACAACTTTTAAAAACATACACACAATATCTGAGGTATGGGAAAACAAGATTTAAGAACTTTTATAAATTGTCCTTGCTTAGTAGATTCCAATGATGAAGATTATATCTGAAAAAAACAAGGCAATGGTGAAATTTGAGAGAGAAAAAAGGATAAACAATTAAGATTTTGTACCTTTTCAAAGGGATATAGGCCCTTAGGTGCCCCTCCCCGATATTGGCCCGAGTCTGTTTTCCGTTTTTTGAATAGAATCAAATTCATGATACAGACAAACTGTTTTGTTAAATTGTAACTTGTCTATCAGCAAATGTTCTGAATTTTAGCCCTTCAACCCCTGTGTTGCTTTAGTAGACTCTACCATTCAATGATCTGGATGAGTCCATTATGGTCTACAGTGGTGAAAGGATTAAAAATATTTCAAAAAGTTTCACTTTACGTTGATTTAACTTCTGATGCCTACAGCAGATATCTGTTTATTTGTTAAATGTTCATAACAATCGTTTAACTCATTCATCCCTGAAGACACATTTGAACTTTTCCAATTCAAAGGTTGGATTAGTCCATTATGAAATTTCAGGGGTAAATGAGTTAACTGACCTTTATTAGAATATTTTTCTAGATATTATGTTTCATTCTACACAGAAATTAAAGTGCCAGCGATGTGTGAGAGTGATAAACAGTTAATATAGTTAATATGCATGTAGATGTTTTTTTCCAAAGGAAAATTATATTAAAAAAGCATTTGTAATGCATGTTCCAGTTTTCATAATTTCATGTCATGAATAAAAATAATTCCTGAAAACATTTGATTTGTGTTTGTTATTGTCATATTTCCCAGGACAATGGAACATAGATATATATCTGTATCTACTTTTTTATTAGCAACAAAATTTAAGACTTATCACCTAAAAATGAAAAAAAGAATGGTAAAATTACATCTTTGGATTGATATATTATACAGGATATAAAAAATGTAAATATTGATACAAAGTCAGCCTTTTGTTAAAATCAACTTAATTATTAATTTAGGTTGAACTGTCTGCAGTGGTGGATCCAGAGGGTTTTATTTGGCTTAGAGATAATTTTCTATAAAAATCATGTATTTTCACCATTTTCCTCAACTTTTCCCCACATGGAAACCCCCTCAGATAGGTCTCTGGATCGCCACTGGTCTAGCTGTGTGAGTTTTTATCCATCGACAAATTCATTATGGTACACTGGCTCTTACAGTTATACAGAAGGAAACACAATAGTCTTTGTTTTGTAGATAACTCAGGGTTATGATTAAAAAGTATATTGTTAGGATGGGAAACCCAATTATAAACACAGGGACCTAAGAATTGGCTACAGTAAAGCTATGTTTGCACATGGGGATAGACTTCTAAGGGTTGAGATCAACTCTTGGTGAAAATACCATCTCCAATGATATCGGTATACCATCTTTCAGGTGCCATTTTTATGGAGAGTTGATCTAAACCCATAGAATGATTAATACTACATTAATCACACCAGTTTAAGTCCAAACAAAAGCTTTGCTGTAACAAATTATCAAGTCCCTGTGATAAAAAAAACTACATGCTTTCATTTCAGCCTATAACATCATTTACACTGGCGATTATTGTGGATATATGTCCAGTTATATATTTTATGGAATAACCAATAATTCATTTTGCAAATTTGCAATATACATTTATTACTGTGATAAAACATAAAGATATTGAATGCATGATCAGACTGTGCATGACAGCAGATCAGAATGAAATCGGTGACTGTATGTTTTGATGGGTACCACAGATCTAGTGTTCGCTAGATCTGTGGTACCCATCAAAACATACAGTGTAGTTAAATCAATGTCCAATATTGAACAATGTAGTGAATTTTCCGATATTTCTTCTTTTATTTCATCATGATTTCCACATCCTTGCTACAGCTAGTAACATGAACCTTTTATTTGATTTTAGATTTTGTCACTCATATGAACCCTTTCACCCCTATGTAACTTTAGTAGACTCAACCATGCATTGATCTGGAGGAGTCCATAATGGTCTACAGTGGTGAAAGGGTTACAGCAAATGTCTGTGGTCATGTGAGCTAAACCGGCCAACTTGGATGTGATATAAGGGATGGGACTGAAAACTGGTTCCTGCTCATTTTTCTGCCAACGCTAATTTTGTTGATTATCTTTAAAATAATAAATCAAAATATTTTTATGAAACAGTCCCATCTTGGTGTATTGCATGCTGAACGATTGCCATACGATTTTACCACCGACTTAGATATTTATGCTACTGTAGGTACAGGACCATTTTTTTTTTAAATGGACCACTGTTTCTTGACTTCTATTCATACCGACGTAAACAACTTAAGCGTTCTTTCATTTAACAGAATTAATACCATGTGTATTAGTGTCACATAATATAAGTTGTTCGAATTAAGGTCAGCTTAAGCCTTTGACTTTCGCTGTACTTACCCATAAGTAGCTATGTGACCTGATGTATCGCGGTTACTTCCCCTTAACACTTTTCAAGCTGCCGGTTCAACGCAGGTTTCGTGGAATCGCTTGCCTTCTGCTTGATAAGCTAATATTGAGTGTAAGTGTGTTTACAGATGCATTCTATGACAGTAAGAAATTCTTTCTTATAGGAGAATAAACACCCAAATCAGCAGAGATTCATAAGTTGAGCAGTCTTTGTCGTTTAGCCAGATAGATTCTACCTTTTCATAGTCAAGACTGAGAAACAAAATGAAAATAAAGGTAACCAGTGAGGGAAAAAATAGACAGACTTCTGTAAATATCATAGAGTAATGAATGAGTGAAAAAAACACCTAGAATTTTATAAAACAAGTATCGATCAAACTTTCTATCACCGGAGATAGTGAAATACGTATATACTTGAGTCACCAAAACCAGAGACGTATACGCTCTGCCAAAACTATCAAAATAACCGGAATATATCATTAGGCCTACGTTACGTACATGTCCACAATGTTGGTGAACATTAATACAATGTATAAATTGAATGTTTTTGGTGGGTTTTTTTTCTTTAAAGGCTTTTTGGGTGTTTGGGGTAAATCGAGGTGCTGGAAACCCACCTCCACCCGTGTGCCAAAGCGCGCAAACAGAATTACAATGATATATGAAAAACACATCATAAATACTTTCAAAACTATCCTATGGTCGATTCAACATAGCTTGTATAACCTGCAAAGTCAAAACTAAATAAAAAAAAATAGTAACATTTCACCAAAATTGCTCAAACTTCCGTTGTAAAGATAGTAATATCGATATAATTGCTTGCAGAGATGCAATAAGGAATTGCATGCAACCATTCCCCTTATTAGACGGAATGAGCATTCAAAATAGGCATGCTACTCCGTATGAACTACTTGGCTTACCATCAGTTTATTTATTTTTCTTAACAAACACAGCTTGCACAGCAGAGAAAATTACCAAAAACGAACGTGTCGTTTACGAAAAAAAAAACTTCATTTTCCTTTAGTTATGATCAGTGAAATAATTTTCCAGACGATAATCGCTTAAATTGTAAAATCTACTTGATAGGCTTCACGTAAATTTAGTTTAGAACATGGAGTTTGTATACATACATGTACACAATCAAAAAAGTGTTATTTTTTTTTTATCGTGGCAATGAAAAGATGACGACTTAGTACATCGCCCTATCTTCTCCCCTGACAATCGACATTATTGTCGCCCCTCTCCACGCCATTCTGACCAGCTTCTGGTGTAATACCTGTTCTGACTTCGTGTTTCAGTTTTTGTTTTGTTTTACCACGGAATTAGATTAGATATCTAAGTCCGTGGTTTTACTGTACAATTACTCAAAACTTATGTCTGTTTAAAACATACATGGCATAGAGCCATANATATTTATTGAGGTCTTGTTAAAATATTCATTGTTTTGTGTACAGTATTTATTGAGGTCTTGTTAAAATATTCATTGTTTTGTGTAGAGTATTTATTGAGGTCTTGTTAAAATATTTATTTTTTGGTGTACAGTATTTATTGAAGTCTTGTTTAAATATTTATTGATGTCATGTGTGAGAGTATATGTTATACATTGAGATGATGTGAGAATGACTGAAAGTAATTAAATGAGATCTTGTGAGAATATTTATTGAGGTCTTATGATAGAGTATTTATAATATTGTTATATTTGGTGTTAAGAGTGTGTATATGTGAAAATGTTTGAGGATACATGAATGAATGTTGGTGTGTGGGTGTTAGTGGGTGTGTGTGAGTGAAAGAAGGATGTGTACATTTTCTTCATTTTAGAATTCATCCTTGATTTATTAAAACATTCTGAATGTCAATTACTAGTTTGGTTGTTATTTGATGATTCCATGAACAATTGATGTGAAGCCACTAAGAACTTGAAGCATATACTAAAGCTATACAAAGTCTTAAGATAAGCATTAATTACTTACATAAAAAAGGTCATTTTTATTACTGTAGCATCTTTGTATAAACTTCCAGAATGCTTCAAGTAATTTTGGTACTGTCAATTTTGATGCAAAATTCATATAAAACAGACAAATTTAATAAGATGTGAAGGCAGATTTTCAGTGGCCAGAATGCACCATTTCACACTTAGGAATAAAAAAAAATCAGGGGGGGCATGCCCCCGGACCCCCCTAGCAGACTCCCTCGCTTCGCTCGGCAAATTTCTCGCCCCAAAACTTTTGGAAACCCCCCCAGCTTTGCCACTGGCATAGAGCCATACGTATTTTTACTGATAAGTTTGGAAAACTCGGGTCCATCCATTTACCCATGAAATATGTTAAATCTAAAAATCGAAATGTGTTATCACGTGGTCGATAAAATTGTCCGTCGTGATTCAATGTACACGGTCAAAATGGTTTTTTTTTGCACCAGTATGTCCGCCATTTTTGTTTTCAATTGGTAAATTATGTTCACGCATGAATGACTGAAAAACACGTGGTGCTATTTATAGCTATGGCAATCGTTCACCTGTAGTTTGTGTAACGCTGCAGTAGTCATATGTATAAGAACTCTAGAAAGTTGTCAAGTAACCGAACATACGTCTCCAACAGCGGACAGGCCGGGAATCGAACAGTGACAAATGAACTCTATACGGACGTTCTACCCGAAGTATGCTACATGTTACTGTATCTCTAAAATCTAGTTGGCTACCCGAGAATCGCACAGGCAATCTTTTGTCCTAAAATACGCTATTTATAAGTAACATACCGTTGGCACAGTGCTAGTAAGGGTTGGTCATATGTACTAGACCGGGATTGAACTATATGCAATTGTTTGTTTGGGGTTAAACGTCGTCCTTGCACCACCCAAGGTCATGGGGAGACGGATGCTTAGGGAGATACCGACGAAAAGACAGAAAGCAGGTAAGAAAGAAGAATCTAGAGAATCCGAGATTTGAAAAGGAACCGGAAATTCAAGTGATGTTGGGTCACCAATGACTTATCCAATCGAGGACAAAGGTACAGTGCCTGGTGAACAGTTTTGCTTAATAAACTGTTGGCCTTGACTCACTTTAAAGGTCACATATAGGAGATCATTTGCCATCAGCATTGAATTACAGGTGAGCAATGCAGGCCCATTGGGCCAAGTGTTTTAATTTGGTATACATTTTATCCGTCAAATATGATGAGTCGCATTTAATATTTTGAAGTAAATAAATTGAGAATAAAAGTAGAGTTCATTTTGTCATAATTGCGTATTTTAAAGTCAACCATTATAATATGTTTAAACAATAAACTGTGCATTCTGGAATTTTTATCTCCATGTGTCAAAGTTTGGGAATCGCGAATTCGCGAAGTCACGTGATTTTAAAGTGTCGTCCTCACGATGGAAAGCACATCCTCGCGTTTGTAAACTCCGATTGTCTCCAGTAATACAAACTCTGCAGGTTATAGAATATGTACAATGATCATTATTTATTATGTCCATAGAAAAGACTAGCCACTAAGAATAGTTTAAAGCCATCTTCATTTATGCAAGAATCAAATGTAATAAAAGGCCAATAATGCATGAAATTGTAAACATCTTACGCATTTCATTTTTGCAACATTTGACTGAAAGATTACTACAAACTGGAAATGTCCTTTCTAGAATCACAATAATGATAAAGTTTGACGTTCTTGGCGCATAATCTGTGTAAACCTGTGTATTTCGACAACCTGGCTATCGCGATTTTATAATGTTCCTGGTGTTGTTTTGTTAAGACATGTTTCATGACATGATATAAATATCTGTATTCAGTAAGATATACATTCTATAGATTTATTTCCTTGTGGTAGGGAAACACGATTCTTTGTTTCCTGTGCTTCTTTATGTTCACGAGGGCGAAGCAAGGGATTCGTGTTTTCTCTAACACAAAAGCAATAAATGTATATTATACCGAAATAAAAAAATAAATACCACTACAGTGAAAATGGTCAGGTTGACGTGCCATTGCTGTCGTCTGCTTCCGACAGCACTTTCTGTAAAAGTCGTTTACGGAAAGTGCCGACGGTTCCCGATCGCCGAAACGTTTCTTTTGGGGGTTTTCTGGAGAGGCTCCGAATAAGGGAAATATGACCCGGGAAACTGGAGCTCATCAAAGGAAGGAGCAAGATTTTTTTCCTCCCCGTCTTGTGATAAAAGATAATCCAAAAGTAAGCTCTTATATAGCTGAAGTATTATTATATAAATGTTAAAAATAGAATATTTGTGTTCATTATCATTACTCCATTTACATTCGTGATAAAAAATAAAGTTGAATTAAGAGTAATTTCTTGAATTAGGTACATATGAACCAGAACAACCCGGCATCGGTGTCCAATTCAACAACTCTGGTTTGAAAATAGCATATTAATACTGTCGAAATTTCAAAGTTTAAACGGACTTCAAAGTTAGTTCTTCAACACAAAGCTGTCTGCCGATACTTCCAAATGATGGAGGGCAAGCTCCGTCCTTTACGTCTTGTGGTCAGTATATGGTCATGCTCGCTGGACGTACCTATAGCGGACAGGTGACGGTTAAAACATCAGAGAATACCACGAGGTAATTATACTATGATCAAATGATCACCACTGTAATCGGTCCCAGGGGAATTTGTTGTCCGATTAAAAAAACGTAGGTTTCTGTCAATAAATTATCTGTTTATTTGTGTGCGTGTGACTTCAATTAAAATGCACAAAGATCACTCCAAAATGTTTTTCGTCTGAACTTAATTCCTTTGTGAAAACAATATAACATTGCTATCGACGTTTCAGATTTAACCAGATATCTATAAGAATATGAAACAATAATTCTGTAAACTGTAATCCAGTATATTTCTCTTGCACGACTTCCATCCGAGATGAGACACAGTAGCATGGCGTAGTCAAGGTTTCCAAACAGAAGTTCAAGAAGTTTCGACACTGTTGTGATAAAGTCCATCACCTCCGCCACAGTGACATAGTTGTTCACACGCTTGTATTGTCTATTTAACTGAAATAAAAAATAAAGTAAAAACATCATTGAAAAGCGAGACCAACTATGAAATCACAATTAAGTCGAAATCTGCAAACATGGAACTTTAAAGGATCCCCGTACCGCTGCCAAAAAATGTGTAGCTGTGCGTTGGAAACTTCTTTTCCCTGCATGGCCATTGCTTTGATAAATCATTCCCGAAGAGAAAAACCACATAAGTTCCCGGAAGTTTTAGGAAAAATGATGAAGATGAAAGAAAATGCAGCAACAGTGAGTGTTCTTGGTGTAAAATGCAACGGAGACTGGCCAGGATTCGAACCCCGTACATCTTATATTTTATATTTAAACTGTTGCTCTAACCAAAACTACAGTTGGATACAGTGTTTTGCCTGCAGTGAGGGATCCCTAAATGAAATATAAATACATTTCTTGTATCTCTTTTCAAATACTTTCTGTACTGGACTTCAGTGTATAACTGAACATCGATCGACTGGTTGGGTCGTTTTAATTGCCTGGGCGAGTTGGAAAAGAAGAACCAGATTATGCAGGGGGTTCATAGAATTGCCTCTTATGATAGTAAAATGATACAGCAAATCAAATATTTTCCAACGACCCTTGAATAGCTGTTACGAGAGCATATTTTCATAAGAAATATATGACAAAGTTATATGTGACTTAGATTGGAATTGGCCGACTTCATATATGTAGGCGACTAATGTGGTCCTATCGCTAATGCTGTATCCCACTACATACATGTACGTATATGAGGAGAGCAATGGGGAAGGGGTGAAGNTGCTCATTCTTTTCTTTTCTCGTTTTCCTACTCTCTCAGCATTCACGATAATGGCAACAACTATTTCAGTGAGATAGCACTATAAAATCGGCATCAGATCCGCGCTATCACTCGGGGACTTATACATCAACTGTCAAAATACCTGCCTCCGGCACACGTTCACACATGCAGGCTTACACAGCACACATGGAGGCACGTCCTTAAATGACCTTAGCTGTTGACGTTAAACCTGTACAACCAACCAACCTACTCTTTATTTACTGTGATAAGTCCCTTCCGGTACCAATCTTCATATGACCGTAGAAGATGTTAAAAGGTCGTTATATCCCGAACGGAACAAAACTATAGTTTAATTTAAAGAACATATACATTGATCATCAATTATCGTTAACCGGCGTCGATTTCTGAAAAAGAGTGGTTCCTCGTTTACGCAAAGTGCCGATGGTTCCCGATTGTTACGTCTTGTTACTGGAGACATGTGCTAAGTATCTCCGTTTTAAAGCCAAAAAACAATAGGTATGAATAGGGAGATTTTTACTTGCATGACAATAGCTTTACTGGGGTTTTTTCTGGGGAAAAACCCTCAATACTTGGCGATATTTTTATGAAGTAAAAAATATAGATAAAAAAACAACATAAAAGGAAATCTACAACGGTGTTCTGAAAGTGAAAAATGCAACGGAGCCAGATCGGTGATTCTAACCCAGGACCTCCGCTCACAAACCAAATGGGCTACCTGATAAGTTTGTTAGTCCCCTTGCGCAGTCCTACGACAGCTTTTTTTTTTATTCTAAAAGAAATTAAGGGGAGGTTACTGTTTGTATAAAAAAAAGTATGACAGGGATGTTCTACTTTGCAGGTCGGGGATTTAGAAAATAACAAATCTGCTGTTATCTTCTAAATGTTGTTAGAGGCGATTAATGTGGAAATCCCTGCAGAATCGAAGTTTTTTGTGCCCTCTACCTCGGGACGCAAAAGCAACTCATAACAGCCTTTTCGTTTCCTAGTGCCTTCCTTGGCAATACCTCACTTTTGGCCTAGTGTTGAACATTAAGCCAAGTGAGGCATGCGGTGGGTTCTGTCCACAGGCCTGGACACACAAACGTCTTCAAACATACGGGTAGTTGTTATTCCCTGCTTAATGTGGAATACTGTCATGGGTGCCTTCGACATGGTATTTCAGTGAGGTAGCACTCTTACAATCGGCATCAGATCCGCGCTATCACAAAGAGCCAATACTACACACATGCACGCAAACATTAGATACTTATGGAGGCACGTCCTTAAAAGACATTAGCGGTTAACGGGATGCTAAACAAAATAATAGCAAACCAAACCTTAGGAAAATTAATACCATGTCCTACGACAGATACTTACGGTAGCTGAGTACCTTGACCTTTCCGCTGTTGTAGCCTGTCCACACCTGATGGTCAGTATGGACGGCCAGTGACCAGGGAATGTCCTCGTCTGTATGAAGGATCTTGAGCAGATGACCATTGCCGTCAATCAGCTGAATAGAACAACTGTACAGCTCGGCGATCAGGATGTTGTTTCCCGCGTCGTACTGGACGTCCTGAGGACAGAACTGGACAGACTCTTTGCCATAGTAACGCTTCGAGCTCGGGATTATCTTCCTATCTCCAAAGTATCGGAACTTGAGGCGAAGATGTTTGTCTAAAATGACTAGATGACTAGTTTCGTATTCCGTTCGATTGATGACGGCCACATCACCGGAAGAAAGACTTGTAGCGACTCTTGAAGGCTTGATAAACAACCTCTTCCGGTGGCCGTCGTATTCTGCTTCCGCCATTTTGTAACCTTTGACTGTATACTTAGCGATCTTCCGTGTGCTGAAAGCAGATACGGAATAACTCCATTTCTCTACTAGACTCACCAGAAGATTTCCTTCTGTCGTCAGACATAGCGCACGCGGGGACAGTCTGTCCAGATGGAAAAGTGTCTTCGGTGTTCCGTCCGGTAGAATCTCTTGTATAATATGTTTGTCCGGACAACTGACCACTGTCCGATTGTCCGCAGTATTAGCGAGACAGGCTACAGCAGTGTCGAAATGGATTGTTTGTTTCACATCGCCCGTCCTGGAGACCAGTTTAATCTCGTTCATTCTTTCAAGACGTATCCAGCATTCATCGACCGATGCTAGCGACGGACAAATGAAACAGATTCCGAAAGAGGATGTCGTCTGCTCGAACGCTGAAGTGACGGTTGTGTCACACACGTTGTAGCCGCCATCTTGTTTTCTTCTTTTTGCATTTTCGTGTTCTTCTCGTGTCTCAGATTCGTTGTGGAAACGATATTGGTAATTATCCTGATGCTGAATTTCAATATCTCCGAATATTTCCCTAAGATGTCCGACGGTACCTGCTCCGTGCACTAAAGCAACGGATCTCGGAGACTTAACGGAAACCACCTGTCTCTGATATTGATTGTTCCGGTGGTATTTCTCAGTTTCTATGATTTTTGGGAAGTTCTCGGACTCTAACGCAGCTTGTATAATACCACGAGACTTGGTTGCGTTCATAAGTTCCGAGTCTAGTCTCACTTTGGTTTCGGCGATGTCGTAATCTGTGTCGTTATGATGCCGTTCGCACATAAACACCAGTTGCTTTGTGTATTGGTTGACGGCGTCTTGAATGTCTTTGCCTCGGCGCTGTATCTTGTCGACAACGTCTCTGGACTGTGATCGATTGCCTTCGTTAAAGCTTTGAAGTTTCCCCAGGTCTTGTTGTATACCCAAAACAACAGCTTCCGTTTCTTTGAGGTTCTGGAGCAACGTCTTCTGTCGTTCTTTACCGACTTCCTCGATCTCGCGGAAGATGTGGCCGGAGTGGTCAAGTTTCGTACACTCGTCGCACACCAGCTGGTCACTACAGGAAAAACAGACCCTAACAAGGGGATGCCCATCGTGTCTTCTGCAACTCATGATTATCCTATTGGAACGTGAAAGTTTTTAAACGTTCTGACGCGTGTAAATTTACACAGACGGGATTGCTATCAGTATACGGCTAGATATCCCATCAAGGCATGATACATGTGTACTGAGAGTTATAAGTATAATACAACCCTAGTGACGTTAGGTGATTAGTCTATGTTCTTAAAAGGTAAGTACGTAGAGGTTAGATATAGGTCGGTATTAGATGGTATTAGATAAAGCTGGCACACATTTCATTGAACAGATCGGCAAAGTTTGCATTATTCATTATTACAAATTGAATGAACGTGTATAGCCGATTAATTTTGATATTTTACGTACGGAAGCGTGGCGGTGAAATACATGAAGCAATATCTATGTGTATATACATATTTTAAAACGTGTACATTAAAGAGATAAGGTCCATTGTATTGTACTCATTAATCTAGTATCGCAAAGTCCGGAAATTCGCTTTCCGGAAGGTTATATAATATATATAATTATGTATTCTGAAACTTAACTGTCTCAATAATTCAGACTTTTCGATATTTCGGAAGATTTTCCGGAACCAAGGTTCCGGACCAACGAGGTTCCACTGAAATATTATTTATTTTAATAATCAAAATTCTCAAAAAATATCCAGAATACTTATGAAAATGTATATTTGGAGATTGTCCGGACACATCATAATCTGAAAAGGGAAACATTTAAATATTCGGTTTAATAAATTAATACGTATCCCTTCGATTTTAACGCAAAGTGATTTTGTTCGGAAATGTGAAGGAAAGTTATTAAAATTCACCATCAAGTTGTTCACAATGTAATTTTTATTTTTTTATGGTTAAACCTGTCCAATCCGACAACTAGCCGAGTCTCCTTAGCCCTCCGGTAAGAGAGGTTCAGACTAAATTTCAACTTGTGCTGATAGAAAACCGCTCCGGTATTGTTGTCTATTTGATTTCGTGGTATGACATTTGAATGGAAATGTGGTCGGAATACGCAGGTTCCGTATGAGACAAAATATATTTTGTAAACAAGACATAACCTACTGCAGCAAGGATTATCCGACAGAGTGATTGTAGGTATTTTAAAAACCAAGTGCTCACAGGGACGTGAGAATTCAATATCGTCGATATAGTTTGACCTGTCCTGATGTGTAGGGAGTACTATTAAACGATATTCGTGTTTAAATCAAATGTCATCCCCGTATATACCATCCTTGGGAAGCCATTTTTACAGAGAGTTGATTTAAACACCAAAGACGTGCAATATTACGGTAGTTGGTCGATACATATCAGCTGTGACAATTTCTCACGTCCCTGTGCAAATGCTATAAGTACGACACTCGAACTTTGTCATACGGATCGTAGTTTACGGTCTCCCAAGGAGTATACGGTATCATTAAGGTAAAAAGCCGGAACGGCCCGGCCCGGGGTACCCTAGCTAATACACGACGGCCGGGGATACCCTAATTCACGACGGTACGCCAGTACGCTGATACACCAGACTTACGGAACGAATAGAAATAAAAGGACACAAGTGCAGTTCATAATGTATTAAATAACCTAATTAGTTATAATTAGATAGATTAGCTGCGGTGTATATATATATATGAGTTGGGATTATGTTAATATCTACATGCTAATATCATTAATGGTTTGAGTATTAAATAAATGTGTAGTCTATTTCCCCCCTGACTTGAGCTGTTGACCGACATTCGTGTTTCTTTTTTCATGTCATTTAACGTTAACTAGATCTAAACTTCCAGGTAAACCTAATATTTCATTTATTTATGAATGTATTTTTTTCATATTTTTATTTTTGTACTGAAGATTCACTGGGTATTAATTAAAAGTAACGACAAAACCACCAAACATAGATACATATTCCGCCCGACAACACACAAAGGGCATTAACTCTGTAAATATATAACATTGGTTATTTGACCGAGGTTAAAATGTCAGTTGCCGTCATTAAAGAAGAGAGCGCTTACTCTTTCGAAGCACCTGGTCTTATTCTCCTTTAAGCATGTCTTAGATTTTGGTTTATAGCTGTAGATAATTTTATTTGTTCATATTTTCCGTTTTTTATTACCGATTTTAAGTTATAATTACAATTTTTTGATACTCTTTTCTTTCGTATCAAAATCCTAACAATTATAACTCTCTGCGGAGATCTTTACTTAACACATGGCCAACAGAGACGATTTACTACTAAGTTGTACGATTCGCGAGATGATTTCGACTTTCTTATCCTTGAACTTTCTCTTTCTTGATAGTAACATCCCTGCTTCCCCTACTTGCGGTGTTACAATATAACATGTCGCAGTTGTGCAAGAACTTGCTCCGAATATTATGGCTTACGTGATTGATATCGATTGTTGACCGACAAACTTGCAACACAGGGTTGATGAAGACGATAGACAAGTTTTATGGTTGCCATCAGGATCTCACAGGGAAATATGCCATTTTTTTGTGTTATATGAAGGTCGATGTATTAGATTTTGCTCATTAGTGTTCCTTGGAAATTTGTTGTCACTATCCGAGTTTTCGATGCGAGGACAGAACGAGACATTGCTCTGATTTGACCAAGATTTACATTGCGGTTGTAAATGAAGCAGGCGCTTACCCTTCAGGAACACCTGGTCTTATTCTCCTTATATTTCTTCAAGGATGTCCATTTAAATCTTTCCTTTGTTCAGATTTAGCTCAAGTTTTATACATTTTAACTTCAAATTATGGTTTTGTTGTCACTTATTTTTTATGGTTTATTGGGGCATTGAGCCTAAAATAGGCACTGTCTAAATATCTACAGAGAGGATTTGTGTAGCTACCCTATTCCATTTTGTTTCTTGTTACTCTGTTATGCTTTTTTTACACATGAAAATTAATAAAATGAACATATTTTACTATTTCTAAAGAATATCCAGACCGTGGGTGTACAATTTCAGTTTAAGCCCACCATCTTCAAAGCCCACCATCTTCAAAAAGCCCACCATCTGAAGATGGTGGGCTGATAAAATTACCCTTCGTCCATAAATAATTATTGTTATCTGTATTTCTCAAAAAAGTATTGAACGGTCATTTCTATAATTTCATATGTGGGTTCTCCATAGTGGTCCATAGTTCTGCATGTTTCGTTTTTGGGACTGATGGGAAAAAATCACGGTGATTGCAAGACAGTCATCTTTGATTTCGACATAACCAGTTTGTTATCCCTAATTCTCAAGAAGTACTTGACAGGTCTTTTCCCAAATTTCATATGAAGGTTCCCCCATGGTCCATAGTCGTGTATGTTTGTGCACAAATTTGAGAAAACAAGATGGCTGCTAATTAGCCATCTAGGATTTTGACAGTTCAAGTTTGTTATCCTATTTCTCAAGAAGTGCTTGACATGTCTTTCTCTCAAATTCCATATGATGATTTCCCACTATTCATAGTTATGCATGTTAGATTTTGGGACCGATACAGTGAACTCATTTTGAAAGAAAACTCTCAATTCATCTGAATGACATTTTCGTCAAAAGATACTACAAGATTTAGTTACTGTTTATAAGACTATCAATCCAACAGATGCTAAAGGAGAAATGAAGGGAAAAGATTAAACTGACGTAGAACTAAAGAAGATCTTACGGTGCTCGGCGCCAAGAGATGCAACAGTGAAAATTGGCCAATGAGATGGCATAGTGGCCATCTTGAATATTGAAGATAATTTCTTTATAATAAAGTCTGTCGTACAGCATTTAGGCTAGTGGCAGACCAAATATCAAGACTAAATAAGGTGCTTTAGAAAATAGAATTAAATAATACATAAAAAAAGATCAATTTAAATTTTAGTAGGAAAATAGCAAATTTTCCAAGAACTCTATGTCCTTAATTATTGACGCTGTGACGTAGGAACTTTACAAAAAACTTAATAAGGATATCAATTTAAAACAGAACTTGACATTCAGCAAGTTCAGAAGATTTTCTCTTTAAATTTTGGGGAGTCCGAACATACGTCAAGTACATGTAGACCTGCCATTTGAATTCCAAGAGTCAAAGCCCATTTAGAGGAGTCAAAAACACATGCTCAAAGGTCTTATAAAAGCCCTGTTAAACATATGGTAAAAGTTCATGCTATCACCATTGGCCCCACGGTTTAGCCATGCCCCTGAAGACTTGCTCCCCAGATCATAACAGTAAAGAACACCAAACTATAACCATAAACGGATGTGTATGAAGAAATGAATTAATTTGGGCCCCATATCGGAGATACGGGTTCCCTATAGTAATCACTCTGTCTGTTTGTCCGTCTGTCTTCCCGTCCGTCCACAAATTTTGTCAAAGGTCAAATGTCAAGGTCATAAGGTTCAAAGGTCAAGGTCAAATTTTGCATCTTTTCACTGATGAACATTTTGTAATGACATGTTGAAGCAAAGTTGATCAGAACAAGGAGTCAACTGACCAAAGGTCAAAGTCATCGGGTCAGAGTTCAATGTCACTGGGTCAAATGTCAAGGTCAACAAACTTTTAGCTTTTCACTAATGAGCATATTATGACATTATGAAGCAAAGTTGGTCGGAATCAAAGTGTACCCTAAACGTTTTGCTATATCAAGCTATGAAAATACTTCATATTATATAATAAAAGACTAAGAAAGTGCGAACGTCGTAGTTGACTCCGTTTCCGAGATATTGTGATTTATCTGAAAAACACGCCTTTGGCTCAGCGGCGATCGCCTCGATATAGGTAGCCCACATCTGTGACGTCACAAGTTCAACACTTTCAAAACAGCCCTTTAGGAATATAGCGGGAAGCTGCGATCGTGCGTTCGATATGTGAGGTTTTTAGCTACTTTCATGATATATTCCGTCGTCACTTACTTGTGTAAATAATATTTAAAGACTACATACACAAAAGTTTTTCTTTTACAATTCTAATGATAAAATGAGTTCCTCCTGAGGAGGCAAACGGTGTGTTGTATAATATCTAAATGGAAATGTATTTTTTTTATATAATTTGTTTATCTAGGAACTGTAAATAATATACTTTTTATCCCCCGCTTTCACCGAAACGGGGGGTATTAATTTGGGTTTGCCCGTATGCCTGTCTGTTTGTCTGTCACGCTTCGTTTCCGTGCAATAACTAAAATAAATGTTAACCGATTTTCTTCAAACTTGGTCACAGAGTTAAATGCCTTAAGGGCTCTGCCAAGTGTGATGACCACTTTTTATTTGGCGGAGTTATTGCCCATTGAATCACGAAAAACGTCAATATCTTCTGTTTCCGCTTAATAACTCTAGCAATATTAGCCAAATTCCTTCAAACTTGATAACAATGTTTGTGTTCCTCTGTCTTTCCACCCATCTCGGGCACTCTTTGGTTTTCGTGTGATAATTGCTGTAGATATTGTTCAGATGTTTCAACCAAATTCCGTATTCACAACCGACTCATGCTAACTTTGCCAACCGATGTGATTTGTGCATATTTAAGGATAATCAATGAGGTATTGGGCTTTTTTTCTTCTTCAAGTTTCAAGCTATACATTATGTCTCAACAGCACGATACTCACATGTTTAAACCTAACCTCAATAATGTTATCCTACAATATGTCCTGCAAGCGGGGGATATAATTTCCACGAATTTGATTGTTATTATTAAATTTATCTTTAGAAAATTTGATGAACACCTATATACAACACAAAACAGTTGATTATAAATTGAGTCAAATTAAAGTAGGCGCACCGCAACCCTTTCTTTACAATATGTAGATATACGATTGGAATTGACAAAAAATGCACCGGTACAATAATTTATACTCAAATTGAGAAGCAACCCGTGGTTCTTTTTTTACTCCCAGTCAGAAAACTTGAAATAATTTTATTCTTTATGCAATCCAAGGAATTTGGCACATAGTAAGAAATAGACACACCACTTCTAAGAATATTGCAGAGAGAGAACCTCACAAAGATTAGTAATTTATCAATAAACCACTTGATCAGATATAGTATGTGCTTAGCCTGGTCCAGCATTATTTGCCTCGTTTCTGACTTTCATCTGTCGAGTGCAGTTGTACTGATTTTGATTTGCATATAATGTGACTCTGTGATAGTACTAACGCATTTCATTAATTCATATTTTTCTTGAAATTGGTCCTTGTAGTATTATATACGTCTCTGCTTATACATTTCCCCGTTATCTCGCCTGAGGACATTGTTGTTAAATTGAAAATTGGAAGACACATAATATACACCAATTGCAATCTACATCCTATAACTTCAGGTACCCTCTTGCCCACCTGCTGACATCCCTTTGATGTCATATATACCTGAGCACGTGTATACAGGTGTGTCTTGGGCCTCCTGTTGTCACCATTGGGCACAGGGGTGTATGTTTAGTGTTATTTACCTGTACACACATTTCACACCTACGTATGCTAAAGGAGTGGATCGAGATGATTTTCATTATTTAACCAAGATGTTAAATTATAATTTGTGTATGCTACATGTATAGGGAGAAACAAAAATGCTTGAATCTCATAATTCAATTATATTTTCGAGATAAATTTAATAACGGAATTAGATTATATAAGTCCGTTATCTGATTTAGCATCGCATACATAGGTACTGTATTGTATACAATTCAATGTGTAACTGTCTGTATTTTGCTGTGGAAGACAACATGTCGATTTGTCATTAAACGGTGATACTAAAAATAGTGACAAGTAATTTTGTAAACATTTTTCAATGATATATTTCCGTATTTTTGTAAAGTAGAGGTACCACAGTACATAACTTTGCAATATAAATATTCCGGCACAGAAACTGGTCACGAAGTGGTGCTGTTCAATGACGACATGATTGATAAGTTCTCACTGTAGAGCAGAGCCATTTAAAGTATACATGTATACGTCTCTGTGTTGGTCACAAACTGACTTTCCAGATAAACTTAAGAAATATCTTTGATCGACAGCATTGAGACTATTTCTGTTAAATTTCCCTCAAACTCGTTCATTTGAAAAAAATCTCATCAGTGTTCAGCATCAGGACATGCAATGCTACCAGTCTATGTTACCCTATCCAGAGTCGTCAGTTTGGTTTCAATTAAACTCACTGTCTGGAAATTCTGGCAAATTTTATATGACTGGATACCATCTACATAATGTTATCTTCAGCATAAACTGATTCCTCAAAATTAAAACAAATATTAATTCGCAATCTGACGTTGTTTTGACCATGGCTGTTCTCGATATCGCCTATTCCTTCGATGGTGACCGCTACAACTTGTGACGTCACATCCGACGGGGGCCAATTCACCGCGAGTTGCAATTATGCTAATTAGTAGTAGAAGGACAGGTGAAATCGTACAGTTTGCACCTCAATTTCTCGGTATTGGGATGACCGATTTTTATGCGGTTTTCGACATTTTTGTTTTTAGATCATATAGAATAATAATATATTCATTTCTATTAGCGTTCAGGGAACACTTTAAACAAAGAGACACACTGAGGTAAAAATTCAAGGTCAAAGGTCAAGGTCAAGTTTTGTTATGACATGATGAAGGAAAGTTGATCAGAATTATTCAAAGAGTCTACTGACCAAAAGGTCAAAGTCATCGTGTCGGAGGTAAAGGGGTCAAAGGTCAATGTCAAATTTTGTTCCTTTTCACTAATAAGCATTTTATGACATTGTGAAGCAAAGTTGTTCTGAATTAAACAAAGAGTCAACTGACCAAAGGTCAAGATCACTGGGTCAAAGGTTGTATATTTTCATTTATGAACATTTGTTATTATACTATGAAGCAATGTTGGTCAGAATTAAACAAGGAGTCAACTGACCCAAGGTCAAGGTCATTTGATCAAAGGTCAAGGTTAATTTTTTTTTTTTTTTCCCTGATGAACATTTGTTATGACGTTATGAAGAAATATTAGTCAGAATTAAACAAGGAGTCAATTGACCAAAGGTCAAGGTCACTGGGTCAAAGGTCAAGGTGAAATTTAGCATCTTTTCACTGATGAACATTTTGTTATCACATTATGAAGCAAATTGGTCGGAATTTAACAAGGAGTCAAGTGACTTAAGGTCGACGTCACTGGGTCAATGTCAAATATTTTATCTTTGTATTGATGAACATTTTTATTATGTTATTATGAAGCAAAGTCGTTTAGAACTTAACACGGAGTCAACTGACCTAAGGTCCAGGTTACGGGTCCAAATGGTCAAGGTCAAGTTTTGTATTTTTCACTGATGAACATTTTGTTAGGATATTATGAAGCAAAGTTGGTCGGAATTAAAGAATAAATCAACTGACCAAAGATCAGGGTCATTGGGTGAAAGGTCAAGGTAATTTGCATCCAAAGGTTAAAGACATGTGGATCTCTGAGTTTGACCCTGGCTCTTGATGGAGGAGGTATTTAAGGTGAAATAAAACAAATCAAAGCTAACAAATGAGTTTTGCACAGGTATTTACATTTCTGTTGCCCAGCAAATATGGAGGTGGAAGGAAACAAGACTCACATCATAGTACATGTAAATGTATATTTTGCTTCCTTGCGATTCTTTTTGAAGTCCAAATGTCAAACGACAAGCTCAGCTATATGGGCAGATTGCTTCTTGATGATTATGGGGGATATATTGCCACAAGATGGGACCCTTACTGACCTGTCAGTGTTCTAGTTAACACTAGCGTGCGTGCCTCTGGGGTATTGCCCAACCCTGAGTACATATTGAAAATAAATTCCATGTGGGCAATTAAGGCCTTTGTTTTACTAGATTTTGTTATATAATGAGCTTTATCGGAATGCATACACAAAAAGAAAAGTAATTTCATTCATTTTTTTATTTTCGGTTTTAGGTCACCAAAAGATATATTGAATAACACATGCGTTCTTTTTAGACTTTTTCAGCATCATCCACATTACTCTTTTCTGCAACAATATTGCTTTCATTTTCAGTCTTATCTTTACCGCTGCTGTCACCAAGATCGCAGCTACCATCGGTGATTTCTTCGTCTTTACAGTTGCTGCCGATAAGATTACAGCTGTCAACGGTTACATCATCTTTACAGTTGCTGTCGGTAAGGTTACAGCTGTCAACGGTTACATCATCTTTACAGTTGCTGTCAGTAAGGTTACAACTGTCAACAGTGACATCATTTTTACAGTTGCTGTCGGTAAGGTTACAGCTGTCAACAGTGACATCATTTTTACAGTTGCTGTCGACAGCATTGCCATCTTCATCGGTGGGAACATCTTTACAAGTACTGCTAGCTGCCTCTTGTTTCAATGAAGATTTTTCAACGTCCGCATCTTTTTTGTTGTCTTTAGTTTCTACTGGTGATCGTACCACTTCGACGAGGTTGTATTTCCGGAACTTGATAAAGTCACGTGCAGTCCCCAAACAACATACATTTCCTATCACCTCGACAATGACCACAACGTCCGGATTGTCGAAATTAACACTGTGTAGCGGATTGAGAGTTTTTATAACCTGTCCTATGATTGTTTGAGCACTTGTCCTAGCAAGGTTTTTATTGCTGTTGTTTCTAGATTTGAAAACTACCGAGTATTTCAAACCCACACCAAACGGCGTTTGAAACTCTTTGACAAGAAGCTTCTCCGCCAATTCTTTAACGTCTTTTTCATATGCCTTACACGTACCAGCGATTGGAAGAAATCGTAGAGCGTATCGTGACTTCTGTATGCGAGTTTTTGCCAGGTCTGTGAAGATTGTATGGGCCAGATGACAAGGGTCATCCAGTGAAGTCTTGATGAATAGACAGTTGTGGGCCTTAGTTTGTACACTCTGGAAGCGTCTGTTTGAAGACGAGATGGTTGTCTTTATGGCCTTGACCTCCTTCTGAAGGGCTGCTGCGATGTCTTCTTCCTCCTCGTCTTCTTCACTGCTCACCTCAGGCCCACCATCTGCAGTGTCCGTCTCCTCCTTTGACACCTGTGCAAATTACAGTCAATAAAAAACTCATTACAAAAGAACATTTAATACCATATTCACCAAACAAGTGCCCAGTGCTTTAAATGAGAAAACTGACTTAAAGTGGGGTGCTTATTAGGATAATAAAAAGTGAGTTTTGATACAAAACGTTGCGCCACTTCAATTATTGTTATCACCGAAGAATTCAAACTTTATAAACATTCCAATGTGGGGGAGGCCGGGGCGCTATTTACACTTATTACTGTTATAAAGACACCTTACAGAATGATGGATCATTGTGCTGCAAAATTAAGAAAATTCTTCCACTGAGTTTTGTTTTTAATGTTGTAATCATATATGCAATAATGAATACCCAACCCTGTAAGCTATTATAGAGGCACTACAAATAGTTTCTGACACCATGTGTCTACCCCCACATACCACACCCACTAGAGAACCCAGCTACAAATTGACCTAGTTTTTGTAAGGTCTGGGTGCCTGAGACAATGTGATTTATTTCTCATTTCAGATCAACATGTACATACAACTAAACAATGTTGTGGCAGATCTATGTAAGCTTATAAAAATATGATTTGAACTTCTATTTTCAATTATAATACATATCAGGAAAACTAAAACAAAGTCATTTCATTTATCAGTGTAATACAGTCACCCTACCCAACAGAGCTATCTAGGCCTGATCAGAGATAGATCCCTCACCAAGTTCAACTACATTTATAGCCAAAACAAATTAAGGGGAGGTAACTATATATATAAAACCTACTGCCATAAAAGTGCACCTGGTGTACTTTGTTGTTGTTCCACTCTTTAAATGAAACAGATCCAACAGGCGAGTACAATTCCCCCAGTCTATACATCCATGGGTAGTAATATAAGATGTATGTTTGGGCTAATGAAAACGAAAAAGTATTTTCTAGAAAAAAAAATCATAGGTGGGCCAAGTGCAATTTTCTAAATTCTTGTGTATAATTCTACTAGCCCTGCAGGTACATGAACCTAGTAAATTTTATGTTGTGGATACTGAAAATTTTCAATATTTATTACGAAATTGTGTAACAGGAAGAGAGTAATGTGCTTCCACCGGGGATCAAACCTGCAATCCCAGACTTCCTTAAGTCAGATGCTCTACCACTGATCTAAAGGGAATTTCCCTCTATCGCGTGCGTAGCTAGAAGGCGATTGTAATCCTATGTACAATTAAAATCTGCCACACATATATAGGTCTTAGTCATTACTAGGAGTAGCAGAATTTTTCAAAATCTGCCAACAGGATCCTAACTTTAAACATGAATTTATAAACCAATAAAAATCTGCTTGATATCTAGTACTCATATTGTATGTTTGTAGATATAAGATTGTACCCCCCTGATGATTACAGAAGATAATGGCTGCAGGGACCATGCAATCATTCCCCCTGCTGGTCACTTTACTACCGTTTAGCCTCACCTCCTCTGGGCCGTAGATCTGGTCAGCGTACTCGTTGAGAAGGCTGTACGCCTCGCGGACCGCATCCTTCTCGTGACTGTTACAAGTGAGTAAGAACCCACGGATGTCCACCTCTAGTCTGTTAACCTTACGCTTGTTCTGTTGGGAACATTTCAGGTAGTAGGACTTCGGCCGCTTCTTACCCCTCTTTCCAGAGTTACCACTCATCTTGGATCAGATATTTATAATTCTGGAACAAAAATCAACCAAAGTCAATGACGAGACAAATTATAACCAATAAAACTACATGTAAAGTCACATCTGGCTTAAAATGTCACTTATACTCACAGTAAAATGTATTTGTAACATTGCTATTATTTGTCCTGGGTGGCTACTTGCATTTTCTTATCACATTCCAAACAGTTTGACTGTTTGGACTAGAGTTGTTTATGAATAGCAACAGATTTACAATAGTGATCTACAAGATACTGTTTTCTGTCATGAATTGATAAAAAAGACTTCTGATTTAATTTGGACAGTTAATCCGACTTAATCATCAAAATATTATCATTAAAAATAAACAAAAAAGATTTGTTTGTTAAAACGGATAGATCAAATAAGTCCCAGAAATTCAAATACTGTGGCAGCAAGTATTTGGCAATGTAAAAAGACAAATGTAAGAGAAGTGCATTGATTAGGTTGCCTTACAAGCGTCAGCTGTATTTCCTTTTAGTTCAGCGGTAGAGCATCGGGCTGGAGAGCTAAGAGTTGCGGGTTCGAGCCCCTTTGACGGCACTATCTTTATAACTATTCCTCATCCTACTACAAATTGGTGTCTTTGACCCTCCCCGTTCCCAAGTAGGAGAACCGCCCTTGGCGGGGAGTCAAAGAACCTGGGTTTGTGATTGAGAAAAGGGGGAATAGAGTAAAAGAAGTGCATTGATTAGGTTGCCTTACAAGTGTCAGCTGTAGGGAATTTCCTTTTAGCTCAGAGGTAGAGCATCGGATTGGAGAGCCAAAGGTCGCGGTTTCGAGCCTCTGCGACGGCACCATCTTTATCACTATTCCTCATCCTACTACACATAAAAAGGACCGTATAAAGGGGACTATCGACCTTAACATATATTGGCATAATCAAAGGAGAGGCATATGGAATATATATCACGGAATTAGATTTAAGATCCGTGACAATATAATGAGGTTTTACTGTGCAGTTGAATATATACCTTTCTATTAAAAGTCAAAAGCAGTCAAACTGCAGTTCCCATTGGTGTAGAATATATACAAAGTATATTTAATTATTTTGAATCCTTTGTATAAAGAGCTCCAACATTATATTGAAAAATACTTAAGCGAAATATAAAAGGTAGGTCTAAATTAAATTATCATAATTGTGTTTGCAGAACACACTTTGACTTTATTACATTACATGCACAGGTACTAGCTTCGCCTGCCAAATCACCTATTTTTATAGGTGTATTGTCTTGACACTCTGATGAGGCTAGTATCAGGTCCAGTACACTCTGCCGATTGAGCTATATAGCTATAAAGACCTATATAGCTATATACACCTATAAATTATAGCTGTATTGAGCTATATTTTCTCAGATTTCAAAATTCATTAAATTAAAGCAAAGTCGCATAAAACAATAAGGTTAACCACAAAAAGCATACAGTTAGGTGTTTATTTTCATTTTTCATAAATGTAAAATTTCGGATTTCTTTACATCATTATTTTTTAAAAAGATTACTTATATTTAATGTCTTTTGTTATGAACCTAATGATAAAATCTTCTTTTAAATGCGACTTTGTTCCGTTTTCCTTAAAAAAGAAAATCACTTGAAAATAGCTCAAAAGACCTATTTCAGATAGGTCAATAGAGCTAGGTTCCTATTATAGGTCTTTACAGCTATAAGTATAAAGCTCAATCTACACACGCATTTTCCTTTTATCTGATTTCGTCTGATTATATTTTGGCCATGTGTTTTTTCGTTGTTATCGAGTTGATTTCACAATTACGGTTGTTACCTAGGAAAACTACTAAGAAAACGCTGAGATGTTGCTGACATCATCATGAAATTATCACAATTTCGTATATAATATAGGCCTACCTGACAGCATGGGGAGAACCTGTTCGTCTAAAGAATACGGAGTTATCGCACCCGGAACTGTACTGATACAGAGGCGTAAACATTTTACGTTCACACAGGAAGTTGAAAAATTACTGCCTGGCTTGTGTTGTTTCTGCATCCCACGTTTGACATCATGGACGTGTCGTTAGAAGATTATATCGGCGACCACAGCGTCAATTTTCAAGTTCAAATCAGGTACTATCATGGACGCGAATATTCGGGTCCTAAATAAAGCTAATTTTAACAATATCTGGAAGTTTATCTCACAGAGACTGAGAGAAACACAGGTGATCATAGTAAAAAAATGTTTGAAATGTTGGCCTAATCAGCTACAAATATAACAGAATTCAGGCAAAGAGGAAAAAACACACGCCAAAGAACTAGACGTTAGACAAAAAGTTAAAATAGATCAGTCCATGTGAGAAAAGGGTGATATTTCGAACCTAGATACGAAAAACGAGTAATGAACGTTTTCGAAATTCATAGGGAGTTCCTTTAATTATTGTAACGTTGGAAGAAAGAAATAGAAATCTAGGTGAATAATTGAAAACACGTTATTTTTCACACAAATTGACAATTGGTTAATATAATCCGTGCTGTGACTTGCAGATCATACTGAGGTTTATTTGTCAGACACCATTTAAGTGCAGGCTTCAACATTCCAGTCTGTTGCCTGTTATATTATATAATTAATGGTCAGATGTTCCATTTGTACAAGATGTAGATTAATTAGGTTGCTTTATCAGCGTTAGCTGTAGGGAATTTCCATTTAGCTCAGCGGTAGAGCATCAGGCTGGAGAGACGAGGGTCACAGGTACGAGCCCCAGTGACGGTACTATCTTTATCACTGTTCTTGTCCTACTACAAATTGGTGCCATTGACCCTCCCTGTCTAAGGTAGGAGAACCCTTGGCAGGGAGTCAAAGAACCTGGGTTGGTGTTTGAAAAAGGGGGGAATAGTGTAAAAGATTGATTGCATACAGTACAAATGACTGCATGTTAGTGATCACAGCTTCCGTGGCAACCTAGAAGGGTGGAATGTAGCGAAACTGGACTGGTTTATGTATTTTTTTGCATTCATTTCTTTCAGGTTTCCTGATTGGGAAGTTTATATGGGCATAAAGAAAAATCGCACCCTTTTTGGGTTGAGCATAGATCCTTTAAACAGACCTAAAAAGTTCACTGATAAACCCCTGGAGTGTGCATGAACATGAATTTAAAATAAATCTGTATTTTCCCCCCAGATTATTGCATTACTCATCAAACAATAACATAAGCGGCAACCTCTGAAACCTCCAATGAGGGAGATCTCCCTCATTCCACACTATTTCCAATGAGGGAGAAATAGCATGAAACACGACTGAAACTGTTTCGGTCAATTTATCTTTCCCATTTTATGTATCAAAATAAGTCCAAAAAACATTAATTTGATTCAGACACACTTGTTATGATTATTACACACACCCTGCAGTAACTAGGAGATCATCTGACCACAGGATGTAGATTTTGAGTTTGTGTGAGTTTGGACTTGAATGAGGGAGTTTTGAGGGTGATTGGTAAATTTCAATCATAATGAAGGAATCTCCTTCCTAATGAGAAGAGGTTTGACAGCTTTGCAATAAGATTTCTCGTGTGCATACGAGACATAACATACTATACACAGATTGAAATGTGATATCAAATTCTTTACAATCCATTATATCTAAATAAAATCATACTAATTTACCTCTTATCAATTATATAGCTAAATTTTCTATTCTATTTATAGTAATCCCAATGCACTGGCAGTTAGAGGCCAGGGAGGTGGTCGTGGTCAGAGAGGAGGGCGTGGCAGAGGTCAGGGAGGAGGGCGTGGCCGTGGTCAGGGAGGAGGGCGTGGCAGAGGTATGGGTCGAGGAGGACTCCAGCAGCGTGGTGGAATATTCACATCAAAAACACAGAGAAACCAAAACCAAGGACAATTTATTGAAGCCACCAAACCCTTATCAGTGACAGTAAATAATAACTTTGATGCCAGAGACACAATTGCAAAGAAAAAGAGACCATTGGATGCTAGAAGTAAACTGGCTGCCAAGGCCAAACTCAGTGATGCTAGAACGAAAATTATTAATTTGAAAGGTAACAGAGGTGGCATGGTAAACAAAGGACAATCTAATAAAGGGTCGGATGCAAGGGCCATGATCCTAGCTAGAAAGAAAGCGAAACAAATCATGCCTCCAGGCAACGGAACTGGTGTTGGTGCTGTTCAATCCTCTTCTAGCAATCTTTTCCGAACAGTAAGTGAAAATGCATGGTGTATACTGTGAAACTTCCACGGCAATTTGGTGTTCAGTCTTTTTGGTGTTTTTTTAATTTCAAATTTTCAAGCAATTTCGAATAGAGCCTTTTTTTTTACTGTGTATGTTCAAGGCAATTTATAAAATTCAGCCTTTTTCGTTCATTTCATAAATTCATATTCAGTTTTAATAATGACAAAATGAATTATTTCCAACGGAAAGGGCATAACCAAAACTCAACTGGTATAATATGGATTGCTTGGTGCAGAGTGAGTATTTCACTTGGTGAATTTTTCCAGGTAAACATTTATGATGAATTTTAGAATTGTATTGTAAGCCAAGAGCATTTGCTAGCATTTTTTTCTATATTTTAGGTGAATCAGGATGTTATGTCAGGAAATTTCCAGATTACAAGAAAGGTAGGTATCCATATAGCTTTGAAATTGGGCTAAAATGATAATGGATAAAGCCTATATATTTTTTTTAAGAAGACCCTTGTTAATTATATAATCCAATTACATGTCGCTGGAAATCCTCAAGCTCGAGTCAAAATGAGAAATATTCCAGTGATCTTATTATCGGTACATTTTAGTGAAATTTTTAAAGACCTGAACATTCTGCAGGTCACAAATGCATCTGAATTTTTCTATTTTTGCTGTAAATGTACCAGTAGTCAGGCGGGAAACAAAATCAGTTGTATGTTTCTGGTTTCCCTAATGACCCTATTTTTTGACGTCATTCCCTTAAGTTTTTTCGCTAGTTTGAGACAAACTTTGGTTAAATTCAAAATCCTTGTTCTTAATTTCACCCTGGTAAAAAAATACAAGCCACTTTTCTACCAACTCGGCAAGGGAGAATTTCTCTTACCAATCAATCATTTGGTAGAGCCTCTGACTATTAAACCAGAGGTTGCAGGTTCGAACCCTTGCAAAATAATTTAATCTGTTGCATATACATGTATATATATTACTTGTACATGTATAATAAAAAATAATATGCTGAAATTTTCCGAAGATGAAACCAGAAATAGTCCGTCAGTATTTAGACCTTAATGTTGTTCTCTGTTTTATGTTGATACTAGGTGCCTGGGAACCAGACTGGCGTACAGATTTCCGGTGACAGCGTTCTCGTCACCCGCACTCTACATGGCTCACAGTATTCTGAGTCTACAAACGGTCCTCTCTTCACCAAGACAATCAACAACCAGCAGGTATTACCAACTACATAGCAAACTTGTCAAGTCTCAGCCTTGAAAAAAACATCCTGTGATGAAACTGACTTAAAAATCTGTTTTTCCATCTCTATTTTGGGAATGGGACCTTTTTGCTTTTGAATTAGAAAAACTGTGTTGCAGTCAACAAAATTTAGAATTTTCCAGATTATACCTATTTTTTTTAAATTTTAAATGATTTTGGTAAAAAAATACTCTATTATCCATTGGGAATGGAACCAATTTCATCCACAAAATGGCCCCCAAATATCTTTACAATAAACATACTCTTTAAATTATCGTTTTGCCGGGCACGATAGCCAATCACACATTTTTTTACCACCAATAGCTATATAGCACTACAAGTATACACTTTCTCTGGGGATTTTTTTTTCTAACTAACTTGCATATGCAATTATATGTAGCACCTTAACTGCATCCTCTACAAACAACAGTTCTGGTCCCATCCCTGGGTCTGTGGCATCCATTTGTAACAACAAAAAGAAAAAAAGAAAACCCACTTGATTCAGGATTTGGTCATTTTGAAATTGGTTTTCTGAGTTTTATTATTATTTTTAGCCAAGTGTGAGAGGGCCAGTGATACAACTCCAAAACGAAATGTTCCAGGCCCACCCACGCTCACAGCCCATGTACAGTCAGGCCCTTACATACGGCCAGGAGGAGGAAGAAGACCCGTGGGCGCTTGTTAGTGGCTATCCTAGTGAGAAAACATTGACAGTGAAAATGCCACAGGGTCACGCTCAATTTACCAGATACCCACAACAGAAATTTCAAATGAACAAGATTACGTTTGGTGGTGAAAGAACAGTACCTCCGACACCAATATCACCACCAACAGCCATTAAACGGAAAGCCGTCAGAGATACAATGTCGCTGATGACTGGTAAACAATTACGTCTCGGCAGTGCAGCTCCACCGGCAAAACAGACACGACCTATCACAGCTGTATCGCGATCTGCCCCCAAAGTTGTCAAGCAAACAAAAGTGATGAAACCAGCTCCTGCACCAGTTGTAGTAGAAGAGGTATGTAAATTCATCAGTGGTGTTATCCTCGATACTCAACGGGTTATGCTCACGTTCGCTCTCTGCACCCCTGGAATATATGTCATAGCAATATTGCAGGCACACGGCTAGCTATTTGATATGTTCTCGGGTAAAACAAACTGACTAATTGCTAAGGCTGATGATACCTGTCCTTTGAAGACCACAGAGAAGCAACACCCGACTTCAAGTTGACTTGTCAACTTTACTGCTATGCGACCGTGAGAATCTTTTGGTGTACATCAAAGGATCAAATTGGTCTTCTTTTCTCATCCTCAAGCTGACACGTTGAGCGTTACACAATCCCTGGAGTATCGAGGATGCAGTTGTGTATATGTAGTTGAAGATTTTATTGATCAAGTTTACATGAGGTTCTGCATATTTTGCTCTGACATCATTTGAAATTTGTTTACCAGGAAAGGTTTGTTGGCCTACAGTGTAAGGATCTCTGTACCACTGCCAAAAACTCTAATTATGAATTGAAAACTTCTCTTCCTACGTTACAATAGCATTAATGAATAATTCCTGAAGAGAAATCATATCTTTCATGACTATTGTGGAGAAAAAAAATCAGTAAAGGTAGAATACACAGAAAGAAAAGTATTTTAAGATTAACAGTGCAATTTTAACCTTGGATTTCTGATCACAATACAGTCACTCTAACCAAACTTACCTACCACATCAGCATGTAGTAGTTCCCTGGCTAAATATGACTACTGTTAGATACTGGTATATCCAAAATAAAGTAAAGGGGAGGTAACATTTAAGGGAGAAAACACTAATATAAATCACAGGTATAATGTGTAAGGTAGCATACACCCTTAACTCTAACACAAATCACGGGTATAATGTATAAGGTAGCATACACCCTTAACTCTAACACAAATCACAGGTATAATGTGTAAGTTAGCATACACCCTTAACTCTTAACACAAATCACAGGTATACTGTGTAAGGTAGCATACACCCTGAACTCTTAACCCTTTCACCACTGTAGACCATAATGGACTCATCCAGATCAATGTACGGTAGAGTCGACTAAAGTTACCTAGGGGTGAAAGGGTTAACACAAATCACAGCCGGTATAATATGTAAGGTAGCATACACCCTTAACTGTAACACAAATCACAGGTATAATGTGTAAGGTAGCATACAACATTAACTGTGTAAGGTAATGTATGTTGTATATACATGTAACTGTGTATTTTAATGTTCATTTCAGGAGGAAGATCCCGACATGGTACTAAGTCCACTCCAAGGTCACAGAATCCTGATCTCAAACCTGCATGTAATTGTCTCCCAAGACGACATCATTGTAAGTACAATGGAGAAACAGTCTTGATGACACTGTTGACAAATGTTTTAAGCTTAAGGTTAATTGTTAGATAGAAGGTTATCTGAAGAGTTGCGGAGCTTGAGACCATTTTCAGTATAATTATGACCAGGTGGAGTGTAGTCATTCGGTCTCCAGGCTTTGACGTTTCAGTGAGCTGGTCAGATGGCACTTTAATAGTATCTCTATCATCCCTGGGCACCTTCTCTGTATGACCCTAGCTATCGCCAGGACACAAAACCCTAAACAATTATAGAAAAATATTCTACTATTTGGCTGGATTGCAACACAATCAGGGCTTATAGGTCGGCGATTCCTGCCCGTCCGTCTGTCTGACTGTCCGTCTGTCTGAACTAAGGTTAAGTAGAATGGTTTAGCTCAGTTTCCAAGTTATTAATTATCCCACATCAGCTAAACTTGCATGGCTCATGTATCTAAGGATGCTAATAACATGCGATGCTTTGGATGCTGCTTCTGACCTACATTTTCCGCTTGACTGACCAGGTTAAGAAGATTGGTTGAGGTCAGGCCCCATCTGCTCTATGGTTAAAAAGATTGGTTTAGGTCACTTACCAAGTACCTACTTGTCCTACACCAACATATTAGTCGTAAACTTGCATGGCTTATGTATCTAAGGATGCTTACCACATGTGACGCTTCACATGCTGGTTCTGACCTACATTTTTCGCTTCAGTGACCAGGTTAAGAAGATTTGTTATGGTCAGTTACTAAGTAACTAGTTGTTGTACATCAACTAAACTTGCATGGCTTATGAATCTTAAAGGATGCCTATCACTGTACATGTGATGCTTTAAATGTACTGTAACAATCCGGCCATATCGCCATTAGCGGTTTCTTTGTTTTACAAGTACCTGTCAGAAATAAGAAGAAAAATAAAACAGAAGAAAAAAAAAACTACACCAAAGTTATAGGGTATTAGGTTAATAGGAATATTTAGGGTCCAACATCAGAGATCCATGTGTCCTATACGAGTAGTTATCACGGTGTGACACAGTGTCTGTCTGTCCTTCCTCACGTATATTTCCAGAGATGATCTTAGAATCCAAAAGACTAAGAAAAAAATGAAATTCAACATGGTGATACACTGTGGTACCTAGATATGCAATAGGGGTTTAAACGTTTTTTTAAGGTTGAGGTTAAGGTCACTGTTACTAAAAATAGAACGTGAGAAAGTGATGTGAATACAGTCTTTATTACAGAATCCAAAAGTCTACCGTAATCTTTTGGGAATTTGACAGTGATATGCTGTGATATATGTAGATGTTCAACATGGGATTTAAAATGTTTCTAAAGTCAAGGTCAGACATATGTAGTGATGGGCTGATTACAAATTCCATTATCGATATAATCGGTTCTTCATTGAATTCAAAGTGTTAATGTTTTGAATGTAAAAAATGTATTGAAAGTCATACATTCTTATGACTTTTATTATATGATTGATAAAAAATGCACAAAAATTACTTGAAATCCATTCATTATAACAGAGTGAAACCTAGTGTATAGTTAACAACTCTGTCTATTGATGTTATGGTAGTGTTCTCACTTTGTTTGGGTATTCAGTCCAATAAAAATATGGACCGATTATGCAGTTGATCATTGATCCGTTTACTACTTTCAATTACAAACCGATTATCGATTCTGATTTTAAACTGATTGCCCATCACTAGACATATATGGCAGGGCCTTTATATTACTGACCTGTCAGTGATCTAGTTGTACCTATTTTGAGGTGAAAGAACTTAAATAAAAGTTTTCTGGGTGGTGCAGAGGATAGTGCACATTACCTTCCACCAAAATGTCAGGGGTTGGAATCCCTGATCGGACTTGAAAATGTGTCCGGGTCACCTGCCCAACTACGGGCTCCTTCCACAACAAAACTTCCTGTACACTACCATCCAGGCCAACAACAAGGATTAATATGATTTGATACTGCTTGTTTCACAAATGTTGTTTACAAATCAAGTTCAATTTTAACTTTGATGAAGTCTGCTTGGATGAAAGAACAATGATAAAATCTGTTAAATTTTTAAGATGAATACTGGGATTGTTGACACAAATTTAACTCAGGTTATTCACCGATTTCACAAATATAGTTGATTGTAGTACATGTAGTAACACTACACGTTACCACTAATCTTCTTTTTAACTATAGGAGCTGTTTGGTGCCATTGGTCCGATGAAGCGAGCACGACTGGTCAAGCCCGGTACGGCCGAGGTTGTGTACGTCCAGAGGGAGGATGCTCTTAAGGCCGCCCAGAAATACCACAACAGAGAGCTGGATGGTCAGTAACACAACCAGTGGCAATGGTGTAATTTTTGTAATCATGTTGTTACGTAAATGAACGGTTCATTTACATATCAGTTTCACATTTTTCTTGGAGGTAAATCGTTGTAGAGCTAGACCTTAACAATAAATGCACATGATATCCAACTATATATAACACTAGATCAAGATTGGATGTCCTAATGCACCGATGGCCACTTTCTCATACTGCTGATTTTGTTATTACGGAGTTCAAAATATAATTGTTATTAGAATCATATGATAATCATACAGGTAAAATGATGCAGTTTTTTAAGCCATTTTTTTTTTATATATATAATATTAATAAGAATTCAGAATTACCTCCCTTATATATCTAACATTGTTTTGCGCTTTGATATGGCACATTATCAATAAAATGTCTGTAAAACTAGAAGTATGGAAATACGATTGACAGGGGGAAAACACATGAAAAGGGAAAATGTAGTAAGTATGCTAAAATCTACAACTGTTGTGTCCACCAACAGGTCAGTCCATGCAAGTGAAGCTCATAACACCTGCCAAAGCACCAGTCAAACAGGTCACAGAGGTCATGACCTCACCGCCTCCGCCGGCCAAGGAAAAGGGAGGCCCCCTCAAGTATGTATAAGCTAGAGTTTCTCTTTGATAGATGTTGTGGGCAACATATATGTATCTCACATAAAGAATCAAGTTATATTTCTAATTCAAATGCCAGCAAAGAACAAAACGATAATCACCGAAACGGATTTCCCTGATATTAGTTAAAGTTAGTCACACTGTATTATAGTCGGTCAGCTTGTACTCTAGTCAGTCACTTTATGATATATATATATATAGGCAGGGTTCTCCTNTAGCCTAAAGCAATTACCACCGGATCCTTTTAGCATGGTCAATGGGTGATTAATTGAGGAACCTACTGTTGTATTAACAAAACAAACACTTATTACATCTATTATAAATTAATTTACTCACATATGATTGCATTTGACACCGCTGAAATAGCGTGTGTATTCAGTTAGTGATGGTCGCCATCTTGGATTGTGTAAAGTACAAACCGGAAAGGGGAATGAAAATCCGGATTTGTCGTTTTTAATGAAGAATAGCTCACTTAAAAATGCTGTTTTAATCTTTGATCACATTTACTGACAGCAGTATTTAATACAGTTTTGGAGGAAATAAAAACACTGTACATTTTATTAAAACATTTTCTCTTACAATAATAAGAACTATGATATAAAAAAAA